CAGGGGGGTGTCAGCCTCAGCGGGGCTGGGCTCAGAGCTAGGGGTCAGGGCTGTGGGGGGGATGGGATCAGGGGGTACCCGGCTCAGAGGGGCTGGGCTTGGAGCTAGGGGTCAGGGCTGCGGGGGGAGGAAAGAGGGGGTGCCCAGCTCAGAGGGGCTGGGCTTGGAGCTGGGGGTCAGGGCTGTGGGGGGGAGATGAGGTTGGGGGGTGTCCGGCTCAGAGGGGCTGGGCTCGGAGCTAGGGGTCAGGGTTGTGGGGGGAGGGAGTCGGGGGTGTCCGGTTCAGAGGGGCTGGGCTCAGAGCTGGGGGTCAGGGTTGTGGGGGGAGGGAGTCAGGGGGTGTCCGGTTCAGAGGGGCTGGGCTTGGAGCTGGGGGTCAGAGCTGGGGGGGGGTGCCCGGCTCAGAGGGGCTTACCATGCCACTTACCCCCTCTCCCAGAGCCTCAGTGAGCTGCGTCCAAGAGCTCCTGCTGCTCGGCCTGCTGGAGCTCGCAGCCCCGCCCCCTTATCACGCGGCTCTGAGCGGGAGGAGCGCAGGCCACGCGGCTGTAGCGCTGTCCAGGGCCGCTCCTGGACGCGGCGTGCTGAGGCGCCGGGGGATGGGGGAAGCGGGGGGAGCCTCCGACATTCTCGTAGGGGCCCATGTGGGGCCCGGGGCAAACTGCCCCACTTGCCTCCCCCACTCCCCCCCGGGCGGCCCTGCTGAGGTCTCATATAATGTATTTAGCGTGTGCATAGTCGTCTAGCCAAGTGATGGCATCTTCAGTGGCGTGATGCAGTTCTAGGCCACCGCTGAAGCTAGTCAGCAGGCATTCATCGGCAATGTGCGTCATCGTCTCTGTTGCGCCACAGCTGCACAAAGGGCTGTCACGAAGGCCCCAGCGTTACTGATTGGCTGCACAGAGACCTTGCCCAGTCCGGGCATTATATCTCATATAATGACAGATACCTAAAAATATAGTGTGGTTAGCTACAAGAATATAGAACCTGTCTGAAAAGTCTTACTCCTGTGGGTTTAATGGGACCATCCACAGGACCATTTGGGTCAATTGGACTCATCCCATTAGGGTATTCAGGTGCAGGTCCAGTTCCACCTGTTCTTTCTAGGTAAATGCTGGGCCTTTTGGAGTCTGCTTCCCTGCACTTACATTTTATGTTTCAATTTAGGTATGTACTTCATCACTAGATACCTCTGCTCAGAAAGGAAAGCCCACCTAGGAGCCAGCTACATCAAAGAGAAAAGGAGCTAAGTTGATATCTTGTCTTGTAATGAGGAAAATGCTCTAGAACATGCTATGCTAACACATTATGTGGAAATAATTTAGACCAAGATTTTCAGAAGTGCTTAGTGATTTTATGCGCCCAACTGGGAATGCCTTAGAAGTTCCCAATTTACAAGGGCAGGTGCTCCACACTTTCTGAAAATGAAGCCCTTTAAGGCATCTCACATTGGGCACTCAAACATAAGCACCTCAAATCTCCCGTCACTTTTTAAAGTCTTGGCCTCAGAGGTTACTCTAGCTTTTTCTAACATAAAATGACAGGTTACAAAATGTGGCAAAAAATGTCAATCATATCAGCATTTCCTATATTTTAATAATGGGTTCCTATCGCAGCAGTAGCATGGATTCTGCATTTTATATCAGAGTAAAATGTCAATGGTATTTTGTTTTTATCATTATCTCACCTGTTAGACTATGTAAAACAGATGTATGAATATCAAATTTGCTAGAACTGCAATAGATTATGAAGCAGAAGCTGAGTGTTCTGCATTTTGCCACATTCACACAAATACCAATAGGTAAAACTGTTCAAAGAAAACCCATCCTCCTCCACTCGCCCCCCCCACCCCGATTCTTAAAGTAAATGTAAGTGACAAATGCAGTTACAGTGTCTATTTACTACAAGTCCTAGAGGGCATTTAACGTACAGAAGTAGAAGTTATGATTCTAATATATTTCCAGCAGACACTATTGACAGATCTGTTTTTCTTAACTGTGACATCCAGATTATCTTGGAACTGAAGAAACAAGACAGACAGACGCTCACTCTTACTTAACTTATCAAAGTGTGATATAGTCAGTCCAAGAAATACTCTGCCTTTAAAAATAAGATAATGGATTATACAGACTGTGGGCCAAATCCAAATTGTCTCACACATGAGAATTGTCCCATTCATGTCAGTGAGGTTACTTGTGCAACAAAAGTAATTAGGATTTGGTCCTATGAGGTGGGGAACTACTTATATGAGAAGAAGCAAGAAAATAGGATACGTTTTCCTGGGGGACAAATTACTTCTCCAACTGCACAAGCTACTCGGGAAAAAAACATAGGCTGACTTGTTCCCCATTGGTACTATTCCCCACCACCCTTTGGGCTTGAATAAAAGACAGAAAAAATTAAGTGGATTAAAGAGTGAAATGAAAACACTTCTGGTCATGAAAATTCTCTTACCTATTTAAGCCTCTGAAAAAGTGAAACTTAAGTATGCTTTTGTCTTGAGACAACATTTGAATAACCAATGAGTGAAGAGCATCTCAAATTGATGATATAGTGGCTCTAGGACAAGTCCACAGCCACACCAGGCAGCTCAGCTGTATCTGAACTGCCCCTACCTGTGCTACCACGGCTACACTGCTATTTATGCTGGACCTAGCTTGAGTACGTGTACATGAACAAAGGAATCACACTCCTAGCTCGTACTGGAGACATAGCCTTAGACAGGTATATTTGTTTGTTACCTGGGAACAGTACACTAGAGTGGGTACCATTAAATACTTTGCTTTTGCATCCAGGTATTATTGTGGTGTGCATGCTAACATACAGCACTTTTGGTCAGTAAATCTCAACGCGCTTTACAAAAGAGGTAAATATTATAGTATTGCCTGTATTTAGGAAATAGAGCGAATATTGTTGTAACGTTATTTAGTTACAAAAGCAAATGTGATGTTTTTAAATATGATCATGCTATCTGTTGAAGGAGAGATTTATGGGATCTGGGCAGGGGAGAATTCCCTCAGTGCAGGAGCTGAGGAAGACAGAGGACCCTCTTAAGAATCCTGGGATAGCAGCTGTGCCTGGTGTGGGAAGGGAGTATCAGGGGCAGGGCTGCAGCATGTTACCCAGCAGCGATTCCAGACAGCACAGCTAGCTGTGGACATGCTGCTGTAATGTAGACAGCCCACCTGAGGCTACTTTAGCCTCTGGAGCAGTCCAGATTCACCAGGGCAGAAAAGGTGGGTCAAAGTGAACTTAGCACACCCCTGCCACCCATTCCGCAGGCTGGGAGCTCTGTGCTGTCTCTCTTAGAAGCACAGCCCAGAATCTCACCTTATAAAGCATATCCTGAAAGAGTAAAATGATGGTGGATCCCTAACATTTGTTGAAAAATGCTGATATTTTCCATTCTGTTCACATGGTACAGTCTGGTCAAAATTTTCAAACTCAGGTTCCTAAAGTAAGATGCCTTAAGTCTATGTTTCGGCACCCTAACAAGGGGCTTATCTTTCAGATGAACTTTGCACCCACTCCACCAAATGAAGAGGGAGTTGTAGGTATTGACTGCTTTTGAGAATCAAGCCATTCTTATATAGGGGCCTAAATCTGAACTTAAGCCAACTTTAGGCATTCAAAAATGAAATTGTTTGTTGGCGTAAAAAGTTACTGATCCACAGACCTACTGTAGTTGCTGGTGCTGGCAATTAGGTTTCCCATTTAATTCACTGTTTTTACATTGAACCACACTTACATGTAAAATCCCACCACTAATGTATTTCAATTTGATAAATTCATATTTAATTAGTGAACATTATTTTAATCTGTGCAATTTATTTACTTATTTTAATTTTGAATGATAGCAAACCTATTTTAAAAAAATCTTTGGTTGAAAATACAGCAGTAACTACCAAACCTGATTTATCCGCACATGGACACCTGGAGCATGTAAATGGTTTTCAGTTTTACAGTGTGTATATCAGTCAACATTGATTCTGCACTAGCAAGGTGCAAGATATCATGGGCCAGGTGTTCAAAACTCAGATACGTTTGCAGCTGCAGAAAAGTGTGTTCAGTTAATCTCTTAAACTACGCAAAGAATTAACAGGCTGATTTGATGAATCATGATCTAGATCAGTGGTTCTCCAGCCATGGCCTGCTTGTGGCCCAATCAGCACACAACTGCGACCCCTATGACATCCTCAGGGCCATATGGGTGGTATATATATTGTGTGGATGCGGCCCACATAACACAGAGAGCTATATATCCGGCCCACAACTGTCAACAGGTTGAGAACCACTGGTCTAGATGGTTCTTAAGAATTACTACTGGCATGTTAATGATAATACAAAGGCTACATCTACCCTGTGACTTAGGGGTGTGATTCCCAGCTCTTGTACATGTACTTGCACTAGCTCTCAGCAATAAGAATGAGAACGGCAACATGGCTTAGCCATACTGAGTACAAACCAACCTGAAACCCACAGGTACATGTACACAGCATGGTAGAGCCATGCCACCATTGCTTGCGCTGCCACGGCTATACTACTACTTATACTCGCACTAGCAAGATGAGACCTCATGTGAGTATGTGTACTTGAGCTGGGAATCACACCCCTAGCTCACAGTATAGACACAGCCAAAATGAAAACACATGTCTTGAGAATGCATATGTCTACTGCAATATAAAGCATATACAAGTACCGAACCGGATTCTCACTGGTTAAAGGGTCTTGCTTAAGAGAACCAAATAGCAGACATAGAAGATTTATTCATTCACTTCAGCTGTTAAGAATACTAAACTGGGAATAGTAATAAGAGAATAAATATACTACTCTGGCATACTATGAAGATGAATACTTGCCTGAGAAAACTACCATATCTAGGATAGCTAAATTACACACTGCTCAGATTGAGGTCACTGCAGTAGACACTAGGGACCAGTATGGGATTAGTTACTCAGTCAATTACAGGCGACATTTACCCCAGTGCAGAGGGGGCTTCTTCAAGAACCTTAGCATCAATTACGCTTCTCTTTAAGGTCCATCTTGTGTGGACCCTTGCATTGGGGTATGTTTTTCCTATTTAAGTTGGAGACATAGGGAGCTAAAGTGTGAGACACACAAATGGGTTAAAGGGAAGAAGAGGGACCAGGCCGAAATAAGATTCAGAAAGGGGACTTATAAATGGGAAGGCACAAAGCCAGGAGGGTAACATTAGAAAAAAGGAAGAGGGAAATAAGATTTCAATAGCAGGAGAAATGAAGGAGCTTAGAGGGAGGTGAGAAAATGGGCTCCCCAGTAAGAGTAGCTCCATATGCTTGCTGGGAAGAAGAGAAGGAAAGAGAGAAGAAGTCCTATGTCCTCTCAGAGACATTAAGATGCTGAGGAGAGAACAGACCTGCCATCTTCTTTTTAACATGGCAAAGGTAGAAAAGACCTGCTGTCCTCACTCCACTCCCCCCCCCCCCCCCCGAAACTTGAAGGTATCTATGGAGGTAGGGGAAGGGTATTATTGGAGTGGGAGATTTGAGGAGATGGAACATTGTGTGTAAGGAAGATGGGGTCTTCATAGGTTTTGAAAAGCATCCAAGCTTCTGGAAAATTATCCAGATCTTAATTTTCTGAGGCCCTGAATTGGAATATTCATGATTAAATTAACCTGAAATTCATCAAAATGTACCTAGCAACACCCAGATCCCACACTTACCTGGATAAGTGTCCCTGGTAAAATTGTTACAAGGTTGGTAACTATGCTACTATCACAAAAATAGTGTTGTGCATGGTATAACAACAACAACATTGGATGATGAATATTATAATATGGAGGAATTATGTTAACAGAAATTTTGTCAGTTGAAATGAAAGCTAAATAAAAAGCCAGAATAAAGAAATATTGTGCCTTCTAATAAATACACCAAGTCAAACAATTTTGCAAGATTTGTTTTTAATTTTTTCACCTATTCATATAAAGGTTCCACCTATTACAGAAAGAAGGCTTTCTGCAGCTTTCACTACCGTATTTAAATACCTCTGAAATTTAAATTTCTAACTCACATTCAAAACGTAGCCCAAAGCTTGTCCTCATACCAGGGCAAGACAGCTCAGGATAGGAGCCGGCCTACTGACCAGACAAACCAAATGACTTTTCTATTCTCTGAATCCCTGGGAAGAAAATCCCATAATACTTCATAGTATAAAATTTCTTTGGAATGACACTTATTGATGATTGAACATTTCTGCTATGCATTTTTCTCTCAGTATTAAGGGCCGTCTCTTTATCAGATATGATGATGATGCTATCTTGTGGCTACCAACCGTAAGCCTTAGTCCATACTGCTTTCTTCTTGAACTCTGGTAGAAACCTCAAAGCCAGAAGTGTAGCTGAGAAAACAAGGACAAGTCACATGATTATGTACAAACTGTTTGGTAAAAGACAAGAATCATCTGTATCACAATTATTTCTATATTATTTTCATTGGCTGTTTTCAGGGTTCTGCAGAAGCTAGTACAAGGGGGATGGTATTTGAGCCAGGATCTCCAGGCACAACCACAATACAAAATAACATCCCATCTCCTTCTCCTCTTGCTAATAATCCCACCTCATTCCCTGCTCTTCAATGTTACTCCCCAAGCCCCCTGTTGCTTCCATATGAATGGCAGGACACTGTGAAAGAGATTAGCTAAGGAAATGTGTCATTTCTAGCAAGGGAAGGTTGGTCATATCACAATTTGCTCCTCTCACGGGACCCAACCTGTTCGTGGCCACTACAAACACTTCCCTGTCCCTGCAAAAGCATCCCCAGGTGCACACTGAAAAAACTTTAGGAAAATGGTTAGTTTTGAAGCAGTTTTACACTCTTTAGGATTAGCCAGGTTACACAGGGTTAAATAATTTTGAACTGGTTGTCAAAGATTAAAGGCCACATTAACTGATTGGATTACTGGTCTTCCCAGAACAATGACACACTAGGAAATGCAGAACAAAGTTTGCACTAACACTTGAAGTTTTTTAAAATATATATTTTTTATAACTAACTTTCCTTAAAAATAACATGTACTCAAGCCATTGATATATGCCAGTAACCTTAACTGGACATTAACAAAGCTTTGGTGTTTGACGCTATTTTATGCTAAAACTGAGAGCAACACTTTATTCTATCTGGATTTTCCGTTGCATGGTGAGTGAGAGAGATAAAATGAGGGATCAAACAATCTAAAAAAGGATTTAAAGAGAGAAGAATGTTTATTTGCTTGTGGAGGTTATCTTAAAGCCAATATGTATTTCTGTCATCAACATATGTTGTTAACCTACAAACATTTTTCTTCTTTAACAGACTAATGCTGTTGTCCTGTGCTGAAGGAAATATAGGAATAAACAATATCAGAAATACATTACCTTTCAACATGTCTCTGGAGGATTCAGATAGCACTTCTTTAGGGCTCTCCATTATATTAAACAGCCAGTCAATAAACTAAGATTAAAATGAATAGCAGTTGTAAATTAAAAGAATGTCCATATCAGACCACCACAAATTCTCTCTGACCAAACTGGCTTAAGACATGCACCCTACTCAAGTTTAGCTACAGTATATTTGGACTGAATGGCAAATCCACCCAAGTTAGAGTTGCCCATCACTGCATTATAACAGTCCATTAGTATTTCATTTAACACAACAGTACAGGAATTATCTGAGTGATTATCAAAGTTATTTCTTTTTGCAGTATGAAAATTAGGGAAGCCCTCACTATTGCCTATTTCTATTATGATACTCGTCTTTGATCAGTGAATTCCCAAGACATCATTTATTTGGTTGCTGGTGAATATTGCTGTTCATTCCTAACATGGACATATAATATTCAGTGTCTTACTATTAAATCTATAAAGTAGTAACTCATGATTGGGCAGAGAAAAAAATCAAATAGAAAATGAGAGTCACTATGTTTATATGTTTTTCAAAAATCATTGTTAAGCTATTAGAAATTGTTACGGGTGTAAAACAGATTTAGAACTAGATTGCAGCTTAAAGCCTACTTTCATGTCAAAGGGCAAAAGTTACTGTCGGATGTTAGAATTTATAATTCTTTTTCAAAGGCTATTTGTTTGCACACTTGCTACTTCAGTTTTTAATCATCAGCCTTGGGTGGAATGGGATAGACATTAGGGCAAAAAAGGAGCAGTGTTTTAAGTGAGCCATTTGGCTGACTTGATATTTTGTTTGCAAGGCATGCTGACACTGTTTTGGAAATATACAAAATTGCTAAAGAAAACAGTTAATAAAGTTCTGAATTTTGCTCACACAAAACACCAACTAAAACAGTGGACATTCACAATAATAAATAAAACACTGCAGAACTGGGGTGGATTGAGAGAAGCTGGAGAATCATAGTAATAAGAGATGGAAAAAACATATTATGTCACTCAGTGCCTCTCTCCGTCAATGTAGAATTGGTCACTTAGTAAATGTTCAAATATTTGGTCCAATCTAGTTTTAAATATTCCAAGCAATGCAGTTTCCACCATTTCCCTTGGAAGAATATTCCACAGCTTAATATATCCTACTACAACATACTGTCACAAGATCTTGCCTGACAGTCTGAATTTTGCCTTCTGGGGACATTTCCCTTCATCCCATTATCCCCAGTTACACTACTTTGTAGCATAGCAAGCACAGTAAATAATTCATCTCCATATTTGATGTTTACACCCTTTAAATATCTGCACTCATCCTCCTTTATCAGTCTGTAAGGGTATGACTACATTGCAAAAAGAGACCACAGTAGTGAATTTCAGAGCCTGGGTCAACTGACTCAGTCTCATGAGGCTCAAGCTCACACTACAGGGCTAAAAAAACCCAGTGTAGATGTTCTCACTCGGGCCAGTGCCTGGTCTCTGAAATCTGGGAAAGGGAATGGGTCTCAGAGTCCAGGCTCCAGCCTGTGCAAGAACATCTACATTGCTATTTTTAGCCCCCTAGTGCTAGCCCCACAAGCTAGAGTCAGTTGAACCTGGCTCTGAGACTTACTTATGTGGGGTTTTTTTTGCAGACATACTCTTATAGCCAGACTTCCCGAAGTCAATGCCCTCAGCACCTAGATTATTTTTAATCACTTTTTTCTGACTTTTCTCCAATTGTTGTTGTCTTTCTGGTAACGTATGTTGCCTAGACGAGAATACAATATTTCAGATATATCTGGATGGTTTATTTTTAAAAGGCACAGACTCAAATGCTTTATTAAAACCTAATTACAAATCTGCACATTAATGGCCTAGTTCTGCATTCTTCACACCCTCCAAACTCTCACTTCAGTGGGAGTTTTGCGCGTGCAAAGAAGGCAAGATCCAGTCCTTAATGCATACATGTTTGTTTAAAATAATTAAATGTCAATGTACAGAGGTCACCATTTATATTCATTACAGGAAACTCAAGCCAGATTTGCCAAGTTAGGCACATACAATCTCACACACACACTTATGCATACCTAACTTAGGCTTGCAAGTAAATGATGGGCACAATAAACTGGGGGTGGGGGGAAGGAGAGATCGTCCACTGGTAGAAGATCTGCCCCTAAGTGTATGCATGCCGAACTAGCCATATGCAGGAACAAATACACACATGCACACACCCCTCCCCACAAGTAAACCTACTTAATGTTAAACACCCAACCCTTAAGTGTTCTTTATCAACTTGCATCTTACTTTATTTAAGGGCATGTTTTTAAGTAAGTCATATCTGACTGTGATAAAGAAAAATGAGAGCTCAAGTCAGATGCAGTAGATATAGAGGAAACAGCTGCCTCACATAAGACCCGAGCTGACTCCACTGAGAACTGAGGGTGATCTGTCACCCTCAGAAAGTGCTTAGCATCTTGCATGATCAGGCCTTTAGAAAGTAAATTATGTGCAGCTTTACCTTTTGTGTTTGTTCTTTCCAAGGCTCTTTAGCCAGCAAAAGCTGCACACTGTTTGGAAGGAGAGTAAGAGTCTCCTGCACGGAGAGCTTTTCAATTGGATGCTTGCCAAAATCATCGGCAGACAATTCTGGCAATACTTCTTTGTGTTTCCATGACGACCAGCTGGCACTGAGGCCAAGCAGTAGTGGAGCAGTATGGTCAGCCCAGGCAACCACAGAAGCTGCAAATATCCACAACAGGAAGTCTACAGCCTAAACAGGAAACAGACAAGTTTGGTTCATTAGTTAAATAATAAAGAAGAAAAAAATGTTATGACATCTTATTCTCCAGGATAAATCCTAGGCAACTGAATACTCAAACTTTAAAAGAGAAAGACTAAAGGCAGTTTAATGGTCTGGGTTTTGTACTTTAAGTAGTACAACAGTATTTTAAAACTACAAACCTTAAAGCAAGGGAAGCAAATGGAAATAATTCTGAACCAGACTTCTTTAGCAATGCACTTATTCATTTTTTTATCTACACTGGAAAATAATGCTTATGGACAGGCATTTCAACAAGTCTGGCATCCTGTTCTGTGCAGCAGCCAACAGCTGGTGCTCTAGGATGATTAGTCACATGCTCACCTCCATACTGCACATGGCTAATAGTGCTATACTATATAGCAAGGGAGGAGGCTCCTTTCTGAGGTCTGCAGCAATCAAGTGATGCCCCAAAGCATGAGATTTAAGTATCTTAGCAAGCATAACTACAAATAATATTGGTAGCCCTGAACTGTCCAACCCTTGTAAAAAAAAAAAAAAAAAAAAAAAAAGTCTCTGCAGTACTCTGACCTACTGGGACAATGAATGCCACAGATGAATTAACATACTATAAAGGAGCTTTTCCTTTTAACAGTTCCAAGTGTATAGAGTTCTACATGATATAGTTTCCTTTCATACTGTCATTGTTCTCACAGGTTAGGTGCTAGACTTACTTATTTAAGAGACTTTAAATATATGTACATTTTAAAAACCTTTTGAGGACAATCAGTGATTTTCCTTATGGAGATAAAAGGAGATTTATTCTAAAAGATAAAAAGTGAGCGAATACATGTTCCTTGGAAAGGACATAAGTTACACCAGAAACCATTTTTTTCTGAAAGCTACATATCTTCACAGTATGTACCTCTTTAAGATCCAGATTTTGTATAGGTATTGACTTGTAAGCAACATTTCTGATATAGCCCATCAATTCTAACAGCCAGTCCATTCTTTTCAATACTCCTGTAAGAACAAGAATATTGTCTTATGTAAATGATAGTAAATACTCCTTTTTCTTTAAAAAGCAAGTACCAGGAAACACCATAGCAATCAAACAGCAAGCCAAGGGAGGAATAATAGCAACAATCATAACATTTAATTTTTGTGCCCCTATGCCAAAAGGCATATAGGCACATTAATAATAACAGCTGAAACTCACATTATAACACAGACAATATGGCTGTAACAATCCCTAAAGCTAGCAAACTAAAAACAATACATTGAAAAAGATAATGAAAAAATAATCTTTCATAATAATTCCATCCTGCAGATATCACTGATCTGCTCTGTGGACATCCCATATAGATTCCTGATCATGACATTCCAACACTAACACAGAAGAGACCCCCCAATCAAATAAATCTAGGCTTTGGGTTGAGTCCAGTGCATGCTGGGAAAGAATCTGGGGAGTATAAGAAGTGGTGTGTAAAACCTCTTCCAGTGCAGATTTGATCAATAAAATTAATACAGTAGCTATATGCCTAATCAACTAGTCTCAGTGCTTTAAGGAGTCTCCCAGTACCCAAAAGCATACCACCATATAACTCTTCAATATAACTATAACATTCCTTCCTTATAACTGCCTCACTGAGTTTTTGTAAGAGCTACCAAGACCAATCACACACTTTTCATCAATCAATCAGACCTGGCTAACTCAAAACACAGCCCTGCCTTCTTTATCCAAAGATAACACCAACTACTTTCAGCATGAGTATTGGGAGTGTGTACTCCCTTCCTTTCTAGCTTGCCTCTCAGTTGCTCCTTGTATCATCTCCTGCTACTCTTAGTTTTGTATTTTTTTTCATGCATCTCACTTCTTACATACTAATTAACCCCCCTTATTTCAATCAAATACAGCACTTTTGCAAATCTTTCAAACACAGATGACGTCTGAAGTCCTTTCCATTTAAACTCCTATCCATTTGTATTTGTATAAGTTAGACTTTAAATTTTGGAGAGCAGTGACCTTGTATTTTTGATCTATAAATCCTCACATCCATTTATAATACTTCAGAAATAATACATAACACACCTAGAAAGACTTGATTAGACCAAAACTTTTATTTAAAATAATTCGTGCAGATTCATTACGCTTTTTCACTTCTTCCTTCAGTGTGGCCTTACCTGTGTTTTCATGGCTTACAATTCGGGCATGGTAGAAACTATGAAACAACATCCATGCAATAGTTTCTTTCTGCTGGCATCTTACCGCAATACCAATCACATCATTCAAGCTCAACAAAGACAGTCGGCCTTGAGAAACTAAATACACTTTGATGAAAGTGGTCTTTTCAATATTGTTCTGCAAAAGCAACAAAAACTTGATTAAAGTAAAACATTCTTCCTGGGTGACAACAGTAGAAGATACTACATGTCTCTGTATAGAGATGGGAGGAATCCTTCAATCATTAAGCCAGCTGATTTCTCTCTTTTTTTTTGGGGGGGGGGGGGGGGAGGTTAAATGGATTGGACAAGATACAGTATATAATACATATCACGTGGGGTTATATAATAGCACATGAAATGCACATAAGTCGGTACAATCAGACCATGCTTACGCTTGTAAACAATGATTAGTGCTTATGGAAGGGGTCAATGTGACAACCCTGGTTTAAGTCTTATTTGCACAAGACAGGAACAACATGGGCTGCAGCAATGCAGATTTTCTCACGCTGCTTTTCCAATGTGACTTCATCCTGACCCAAGGGACTAACCTCATAGTGAAAGGATAGTTCAGTTCAAAGGCCTGTTTAAATTCTTGGACTGCTCTCAACAGAGTCTGCCAGCAAGGGTACCATGGTGGTTATGTGATATGGACACTTGCATATAAGGGGGCTTGATCTGAGATCACCAACTCATTCCACTGAGGTCACTTCATCACCAGATCATAACTTTTGATCACTATCAATCTCAACTCTATTTGAGCGAGTGACCTGGAGTTGGAAAGCTTTATATTTCATTATCCTCCTCAGCCATCCTGTCCACCATAAAATATTTTGAACGCATCTGAAATACAGTGTGATAAATCTATAATACTGGCAAGTTTGAAATCAAAAAATTGCAATACAATTTTTCAATTTTGCAACAGTGTCCAGGATTCATGAACTCAGACGCAGTGGATTACGACATTGTATTTAGTCTGTTTAAAGAATCAGATGGCTAATGTATAGAGGGAGGTGGTCTTGTGGTTAAAATACTAGACTGGGATTCAGGAGACCTAGTGTCTGTTACTGACCCTGCTACAGACTTGTCTGAATTTGGGGAAGTCATTTAGGGCCTGATTCAAAGCCCACTGAAGTCAACAGGAATTTTTCCCATTACCTCAGTTTCCCATTTATAAATTGAGGATAATGACATTACCACACAGGGTTGATGTGAGGATACATTAATCAGTATTTGAGAGGTGTTAAAATATTCTAAGTGACGTGTAAAACGGTACAGTGAGTCTTCATCCCATACATAAACAAGTGTTGGGGAGAATTCTAGAAGCCTACAATGAAACACGATTACCTTGGAGAACTGGGCAATCCGGTCAACCTCTGCATCTGCCATTTCTGAGAGGCATTTTGCTACCTCAATATACATCTCCACGTCACTTCTCTGGAAAAAGAAAAAAACGTGTGTGTTTATACATGGATAACTGTATTTTAATATCATTAAAGTAATGAAGAACCTAGGAGCCTTTTTATTCATTTGGATAATTTAATAAAAAGTTTCTAAATAAAATGAAGCTGGAAAATATATCACTTATTTTGCATTTATGGTGGACTTGAATGTATTTAATTTTACTATTTAACAAAAATAACAAGTTGGAAACTTCTAAAAAAAAGTGCTTTTCCTTTGGTGTATTTTCTGTTTGTTGTCCTCAAGGAATTTGTCACTGTGAGAAATTTTCTGTCTAAAATTGTTTTTTTCCCTGATTATTCTCTGCTTCCATTTCAACAATTATTTTACAAATTCTTTATTTTTTTAAATTGCCTAATTATTTGTGAGGCAAAGTCCACTCCAGTCCACTACAATTTACCATATTCTAAAGAATATCTGAAGAAATTTTCACCGGAATGGTATTAGATTATTTACCCAAAACTCCTGCATCAAATTTTAAATCCAATGGCTCAGTACAGATTTCATATAAAAAAAAAAAAAAAAAAAAGTTTTTGCCAACTGCGGAAAACTCAGGCAAACATCTTATAGTGGCTTTTTTATCCCTCCATCCAGCCTTGCTCCCTAAACCCTCCCTACCCTAAAAAACCAAAGCCTTAAAATTCTGTACTAGAATGTGAATATTTACTTCTCTTACCTGAATCTCTTCTGGCAAAAGCTCAAATATTTTCTCTGCAGCCTGGCACAGAAGGTTCCAGCAGTATTGGGCAGGGCTTGGAAGTTTCATAGCCTGGCTGAGTCCCTGTAAGATACTTTGGCAAAGCTCAGGATTTTTTGGGTGCTTCTTTGTTTCAAAATGCTGTACTAAAAACACTTCAGTAAAAGTCTGTAGTTTGTCTTCTGCAACGTGTTTCATCCATAGGGGCAAAGTAGTAAAAAGATATTTCCTGGTTTTCATCTGAAGGGCAAATACAGGGCATTACTGTACATTGGTTGTGCTCGAAGTCTTTCCTCCTACCTTAGATAATTAATACCATTATCTCACTATTCCTAAGATGCTTCCTTTTACTAAGTATAGGGAATACTACTAATATTGAGGTAACATGAACTAGTTACAGTAACTCCTCGCTTAACATTGTAGTTATGTTCCTGAAAAATGCAATTTTAAGCGAAACGATGTTAAGCGAATCCAATTTCCCCATAAGAATTAATGTAAATAAAGGGGGTTAGGTTCCATTGAAATTTTTTTCACCAGACAAAAGACTATATATATATATATA